TATAGAAAGAGGGAAGGAGGGAAAGATATAGTTGACCCCTGAACAACATGGATTTGAACTGCATGGGTCCGCTTATACTGTGGATATTTTTTCAATAAATGCCTGTATTATTTTTGATCCGCGGTTGGGAGTCCGTGGATGCAGAGGGCCAACTGTATGTATTGATCCATGCTATTTTAGTATCCACAGAGGGTTCTAGAACCACTCCCTCACAGATACGGAGTAGTTAAGTACTTCTGGCATCAAAAGTTATACATGGATTTTCGATTGCTCAGAGTTCAGTACCCCTAAACTCCTGCATTGTTCAGGGTTCAACTGTAGTTATTCTAGAGATATTTTGAAATGTGGTTGGTAAACTAAGTATTGCTATACTCGTATCATCACCAGTTAACAAAAAAGTTATTATTTTTCAGGTTTAATTTATCTTTGATAAATAGTAGTAAAGCCTCAGGGATATTATAAACAAAGCTCTAAATATGACTAGGCCCCTCTTCCTATTCTACATTGTGAGGAAAATATAAGAAAGTGTATCCTCATTCTCTGTTTGTGTAGTCTAAGGAAAAATTATTCTGCTGTTAAATATTTTTAAAAATACCCTTACTTTCCTGTTTTCCCCAAATCAAAAATAATCGTTTTTAATTATAATTGCTGGATGTTAGAGCTATGTGGTTGAAAGGCTACCAAGTGAAATATTTTACTTAAGAAAGGTCATTGCTTTGGTATCTTTTAGAATTGGAAATTTATTGTATACTTTTGTCTTGAGAGTTGCTTAAGTACTGTCATGTCAGAGAGCAAGAAGAAGGATTAAGCATGACTTTCTGATTTCATGCTGTATTCATGTGTGATTTATCTATTTATTTAGGTACCCAAAGGCTTGCCTTACTTCTCTGTGGATTTTGGCCTCCAGGGAGGGTTTGCCCATGTCATTGAAGATCAACACAAATTTCCTCGTTACTTTGGAAAGGTATGCTTACAAATTTAATAAAATTCCAGAGTTTAGCAACTCATAACATTTTTCTTTTGAAGGTAAGTCAAGACTTTCGTCACAATATACAGTGAAGTTGGTGAATACTGTTCTAACCAATTTTTAGAGGAACAACATAGAAACTATTCATAAAATTATCCCAGAATATTTATAACATCCGGATGTCACATCTGACTATGCAAACCCTGTCATCTTGGCTGTGTCTGCTTGTCAAACAATTTGTTTATTTTGTTGCTTGTTAGCACATCTACCAGAGGCAGCAAAGGGGAAGAAGAGAAAGTGAAATTCAATTAATTTGGTCCTTATTAGCTGTTCTGGTAAAACAGTTTGAAGAAAAAGTTAATCAACATGTAGCAATTATTAACTTTGTTGTTCAGCTGCAGTTGAATCGCAGGCTAATGTTCTCTCGGCTACGCAGTGTATTTATAAACCAATTTCTTCTATTAGTTGGAGATCTTTTTTAAGGAATCAAAAACATATTTTGATACTAATCTAAGTAAACCAAGAATTAAAAACTATAAATCACCTTCATTTTAAGTCACGTTCCCAACCCCTAAAAGGAATGGATCTTATCTGCTTATTATTCTGTTATTATTTTCTTCACGATTCTCTTCCTCAGCTGTTAGCTACAAAATTAATCAAATTTATGCTTGTGAGTGTCCATGTACAGAAAGATAAATAAATAAATAGTTTCATTCCTATTTTCAGTATTCAGACATACATATGTTTGTATTTTTCTCATTCTTTAAAAGGAAATCATTGGTGGGATGCTGGATATAGAACCAAGACTTTGGAGGAAGGGAATCCGGGAAAGCTTTGAGGATCAGAGGAAGAAAGCACTGCAGTTTGCTCAGTGGTGGAAACCATTTGACTTTACCAAAAGTAAAAAATGTTGAGTCATATCTTTCATTTTTATTTCTTCTTCAGAATCCTTTCAGTTTTATTTCTATTGTATCTAATTAAACCAACTGACCCTCGGGTCATAGGGAAAGGAAGTCTTGCGTGGGTCCCAGACGACTGTGCCTCATTCGGTTGTGTCATTTCTTTCCCCACCTGCTCCTATCGCCTTGATTGTCGTAACCTGGGAATAAGAACCGGATATATTGGGTGACCTGTTCACGTTCCTGTTCTGTACCTCCATCTTGA